CCCTCCCGCCAAAATAACGGAGAGCTTCAGTAGGCCCCTATGTGTATACAGAAAATAATAGAGATCCGCTCTATTCTATTGGATTAGAGCGGATCTCTACTACTTCTTGTGTGGGTTGAGATCGATATAATTATCCATTATAAAGCTGACTCTGCCTATAGCAGTTTAAGCTTTTAGCCTATAGATGTAGGTTGATAGCTTAAGCTTTTCAGTATTGTGGGCCTGAAGATTTCTGATATATTCGGGATTGTCTTGCACTACGTGCGAAGTGCGAACGTTATTAAACACAGTGTACATGAGCGGAGCTATCAAAGAAAACAGGTACGGATACTACATCGGTGCGTTGCGAATCGAAGACACTTGTCAGAGGGCCGACAGTTTTTAAGTTTACTGATTAATTTTAAGAAATTTGAGGACTTTGAGACCAAGACTACCATTTTATTCCGAACCTGAATTTAATATCTGTACTAATCGTTGACCGGAACGCCATGAGCCATGGATCGACTGAGAACCAAAAACAGTTGGAATCACGCACTTCTTTCCCAGTGGAGCTTTAATGACATTTGAGCTCTCTAAGCTTAAATCGCGAAGTCACCCTCTGGGCGCGAGCATGAAGCTGATATAGGCTCCATATAGATCGTAAGACTGTCCAAAGTAGTTAGCAATGCTCTTCAGCTAAGCAAGAAAGCATAAGCGTCTGTTTCCGGATAAAACAGGAATCACCGACCGTGTATTGTGGGATTGAGTTTATTTGCATTCAAACAGATACTACTACGGCTGGGCTCCAAATATTTGACTTATTCCTGGCGAGGTCTAAAAAGGCGACTTTGTGCGACGAAAAATAGCGACTATTTGCGGCGGTTCCAAAGCTCAACCAATAATCAAATCGATTTAGCACCGCAGTGTCTGGTTCAAAAGCATGTGAGATCAGGTGACAGTAAGTCGATAAACAAACGGTTTTGAAGTCAATAAGAGTGATCTAATCTTTTCAAGGGGAACTGCACCGTTGAGACAGCAGCACACGTCAGGATTATCCACCGTACAAAGCAATGAAGCTCAAAGGGTTCGCGGCGAGCAAATGAGTTTGCTCGTGAATGAAGAGACCGGGATAGTTGAGGGGCGTCAGGCTCCTCTCACTGCACCATTCTAATGTTTCAGAGATTTTTGATGAGGATGGATGTAAGGAACAGCACACAGCAATAAAGTGAGATAACTGAGTCGGAGCTGTAGGTACCGAGTTGTGGATGAGCTCATCATCTATCACTGAAGAATTCATAAATGCGAGCAGAAATTGCAATCGTCAGTAATCTTGATTATTATCTTACTTGTTTGTGCTGGATCTGCTACGGATGTTTCCCTTAATTCAGATAATGCGTCGTAAAATTGACCTGGTTCCTGGAACCAACTATTGTACAACTCACCAATCAACCTTTTCAAAAGAACGGCGTGATGTCATAAAAGCTTCTTTCGGCGCAAAGCAAGACGCGGTTTGTTCAGATAGTGCTAATCCTATCAACCGACACCGAATTCAATGTCATCATGTGACGAGTTGTGCATCTAATTTAAAGCTAGTCTTCGTCACGATACCGGCGCAGATACCTCTGGCAAGAGTGTGAGACAAAATCGTTTAGTTGATTGTGCATAAACTAGCATACAATCGTCTTGGTCAATTAGTATGATCAACTGCTCAGGATAGCCCTTCATGTATCTTTCATTGCCAATTCATTCGACCGGGTTGCGCATGGATTGACTGGTGCTGTTTCATGTGCTATTTACGTCAGACCGTCTGACGACGCAGTTGATCATACCACATCATGTTTATACTAAAAAAAATCCGTCTATCTCATACGAAGCACGAGGAGCTGTACGTGAACAATCGCATTTGAGCGCTTGCGAGCAGTGATCGAGCGTATGTGTTTCAATCGACTATTCACCAACAGAAATTTGTTTATGCTGCTACCAAAAATCCCTTTCGGAGACGCTTCACCAAAGGCGAGCCGCTTTATCGAAGCGTTTTGCAGCCTTTCTGTGTCACCATTAGTGTCACCAAGGCTTGCTATAATACAGCACTGACTGAGCATGTGGTGATACTTCATCAAACAAAAGAAATTGTACGAGGCACGTGATGCAGTCACCTTGGTAGAAATAATGTAAATCAGTAGCGTTTTGCACTCGTGATATATTATGCACAAGTTGCGTCAGTGCAAAAGCGGTTAGCGGATCTAACCTTCAGAACACGCGTTTGCACCTTTATTGTGACCGTCTGACTACGAAGGTCTCGAAGCTGACATGTTTCAATATGGCACGATGCACAATGAACAGAGACCAGTGAGATCAATATACAGCGCAGTCTTGATTCGAGATAATGTAACTCGCAAGCCGCGTTGACAAAGAATTGCTGAGAAATCGCTTGACTATATTTTGATTGGTTACGGTCTTGCTGACGGCGGTGAAAATTTCTTGGCTTTTGTGTAGTCACGATGTGTCACGAACGACTATCTTACAAGACAAGTTAACGTCGCTTATGCATTAGATTTTCCGAAGCGGCCATCATTTCTACCGTACTTCACAAAATAAAAGCAAAAAAAAAACACTTTTTTCTGATTTTCGTTCACCTCTTAAAATTAAGGTGATTTTTGTTTAACAAAAAAATCACCACATGGGTAATGACCAACAAAAAATCACCACGGAGTCCGCAATCTAGTTTGGCATCATGAAGAGATTTCTACTATTGAATCCTGCGAATCAGAAGTGGGTGGACGACCAAGAACGCAGGAAACGCGGGTGAGACCACGTTGAATCTTTCGCTCGCCTAGTTCGTCGAA